GTTCAAAGCCGTGAACCGTTGTGAAGGACGTCCTACATCCATTAAGTGAAAATAACAATGTGGATCCAAGCTCTTAGATCAGATTTAGAAGACATGCAGTAAATTACAGCTTTACAGCTTCACATTGCGCATCAGTATCTGACACAGTGTGGTGGAAATGAAAAATGATGATTGTGTTTAGGGTTGCAGTAAGAAGGCACAGGAAGGAATCAGACATAATGAACACGGTAAGGACAGTGTGCTTCTTTAACCAGCAAAGCAACTGACTTAAGTGCAGCTCATTCTATGCCAAGCTGATTGATCAGCAAGGAAGTGGGCAGCTGGAATCGGGTCCTGCAAATGTCCTGCCTGACTGAACTCATGTCGGCTCAAGCTGCCCTTTCTTCTCGAGCCAAGTGATGTGGCGGGGGGGGGTTGGGGGATTTGTTAAACACGGCTCTGATTTAATCACTTGCCTGCGCCGTGTGATTCATTCTGCACCCAGAAACTCCTTCATTCATCTGGATTTCCAGCGGCTCTGCATTCCAAATGCAGTAGAATGACAGTGACAGTCAGCATGAACGCCCCAACCTGCAAAAATGCTCCGACCCCCCCCTCGCCCGGCCTCGGCCATGTCGAATAGTGGGATTCTCACCAGTCAGAGTTTTGCACAGACCACATGACTTACCCGGAACGCTGAATCGGCCAGACAGGCCGCTTCCTAACCCCCTGCAACACGTCCTTTTCAGCGTGTCTCTCTTTTTCTCCCCTAAGGCCGATTCTCCGGGACTGCCGTCCTGACGGGACGCCACACCGAGCCCTGCCTGGACACGCAGCCGGATGGGAAATTAAGCCTGTCTCCTCAGAGGCACTTAGTACTTTTACATTTTCTTGCGGAGTCCCTCAGCTGTTATAAAACGCACACGATCACCAGTAAACCATCTTGCTCCGATCTGCAGCTTGTTTAGTGCGTCCTCAGGCATAAACAAACCGCGACTGCCTCTTAATTGTAGCCATGATTTAACATCCTGACTCTAATTCTGATGCAACTCGGACCACCGCAGAGCAGTGGCCTTCGAGGCTTGTGACCACCGGGGGGCGCCCCATCCCAGAAGCTGCGTGGAAAGTGGATTGGCCAGCATTATGAGCGTGTCACATTAAATGACACTGATAGCAGGCAGGGACGTGTGTGCCACGGGGTCCACTTTTCCACACTGTAAACATCCTGCATCTGCAATTATACTTCAGCCTAGTTACTACGCGTCAGCAGATAAGCGAGAGAGGAGGAGGAGATTCTGAGAGGGGAGAGCACTTTACAAGCCTAGGCAGCTACCAATCTGCTGTGTGACAAAAGGCTGCAGTACAGAGCCTCACATGAAGCATCGGTCCCCAAAGACTTGACTCTGACCTTTTCTTCCTTCAATCTCCAAGCACTGCTTCACTAAGAGTGAACAATAAACTTAATCTGAGCCCAGCCTTGCACAGCACTAAACGCAATACACACCACAACATACTGAACAGCCTACCAGAATACGCTCAGTACACTAAATACCAAGCCATCTGATTGGTTGGTCTCGCCTCTTCTAGTTGCTTGGGCCCACCTCCTCTACAATCTGATTGGTTATCTATCTGAACCAATCATTTAGGTAATTAAAACTCCCATGAGCTTAACAGAATGGATCTGAATCTTGTAAAGCAATCTTTAACTACTTACATTCTACATTCATGATGCCAAACATGACATAATACACAATGCAACCTGTAATCCAGGTTTGTTTCTTCATCCAGCCCTTATTGTTTATGTACAAATTGTAGTATGGCAGTATGTAAGGCTTTGAAAAAGATGAGTTTCTAGTCAACTTTATAGATGCACCGTAAACAAAGACAATGCTTAGATGTGCCTCTGTTGTTGTCAATTTGTATTTAGTGTGGCTTTGCAGGCGATTTCTGATAACTACAAGCCCAGTTGCTAGGAGAATAGGAACCTGTTGCTATGAGGGGGAAGAGCTGTTCGTTTCAAGTGAAATCTCTCAAATTGTCTAAGAGAAAGTCCTCCAATTGCACCTCCTCTCACTCCCCACCCAATTTCAGGACGGGTGGCGTGACATAACATTGCAACCACAGCCAGTAATGATGCGAGCCTTAATATCAAATATTGCCATCTGTTCTATTACTGAAGTGTTGAGTGTGACAGTGTTGATTAAAGTCGCTGGCCAGATTTCACATTCAGTATCTGCAATAAAATAAAATGTCACATTATCAGAAAAAACATAAACTAACAGATGAAAAACAAGCTTATAATAAAGTGTAATACCCACAGGACAGCTATATCTTAGCCCAAAACAAGTAGAACAGGAGTAATCAAAAAGGCTGGCTTTTATAGACAAGCATGATTTTTGAATTATATGTTCACATACCTCTCCTGGAGCCGACTCCTTATCGTGGTGGAGGGGTTTGCGGGTTCCAATGATCCCAGGAGCTAAGTTGCCCAGGGCTTTAAGCCCCTGGTAGGGTCACCCAAGGCAAACAGGTCCTGGGTGAGGAACCAGACAAAGTGCGGCTCACAAGACCCCTAATGATGAACAAAATATTGGATCCACGATTTCCCTTGCCCAGACGCGGGTCACCGGGGCCCCCCCCTGGAGCCAGGCCTGGGGGTGGGGCTCGATGGCGAGCACCTGGCGGCCAGGCCTGCACCCATGGGGCCTGGTCGGGCACAGCCCGAAGATGGCACGTGGGTCCCCCCTCCAATGGTCTCACCACCTGTAGGAGGGGCCATAGGGGTCGGGATGCAGTGTGAGTTGGGCAGCGGCCCAAGGTGGGGACCTTGGCGGTCTGATCCTTGGTGGGGACCTTGGCGGTCCGATCCTCGGCTGCAGAAGCTAGCTCCAGGGACATGGAATGTCACCTCTCTGGTGGGGGAACCTGAGCTGGTGCGCGAAGCTGTGAGGTTCCGACTAGATGTAGTCGGGCTCACCTCGACCACACAGTGTGGACCACAGTTACAGTGTAAATTTCCGGCATTCCTTGAACTGAAGCCAATGGAATGCGTATTTTATTAACAAGCAATTATTTCTGAAAACATCCATGACAAACTCCCCTACCCATTAGGGTTACACAAAAGCAGAATAATTCTGTAGAATATCTTTAGAAAATGCAGCAACTCCCACTACAGAAAAGGACATTCAGGTGAATATGGCTGCCATCCCCACATCGATATCTGAATCTTGCCCTGGGGGGGCATATTTCATCAAACATCAGATGGGTGGACAGAAATTCTATTAGAAACACACAGAATCAACATTATTTTATGCAAGAAAAAAGCACCAACCAGCCACCACCCAAAAAAGTGATTTTCATGTTACTTGAGTATTATGGTCTGTAATACCGCAGGCTATCAATATAAGTCTGGAAAGACTGCCATTAAAAGACAGATAGCATGTGTGGCTGCCCACCAAATAATAAAAATGCATGCTGCTTTCATTCTCAAACTGAAGGCTGCCCCAGTAATGATTGTTTACACCGTCACAGTGCATAGATTTGTTTCTTTTTCACATTTGAAATACCCAGCTGAGTATCGATCTACAAAAGAATGACTTTCTAGAGTTCTGCCAGCAGCGTAACTCAGTTGCTGTCTTGAATACATCATTACTGCCTCTTACTGTACGACATGGCCATACATATCATAATGCAATCCCACAAAGTCCAGAGGGTGGCTCTCTCTGGATGGTGCATTTTGTGTTTTGTTCATTTGCTTGCATGAACTGTTGTATATTAACTTTGTTTATAATCTTCTTAGGCTGGACTGGACCAGATTTGATTGGAATGGATGGACTAGACCATGAACAATAGACCCAATAGTCCTTGTAGTAATGCCATATTTAACCAGCATGGGATGTGAAATGTACAACGTGTTTGAATTCAAATTAAGTTCACAAAATTACTTTTTGTTCTAGGTGCATGCTGATGTTTAGAAAGGTCATTTCGGGAATAGATAAGCATATTTTTCAGGAAGAATCTTTTATCTCCGAATCAGGGCAAATGCACTGTGGGGCTGTGAGAGATGTAATTCTGAACAAAACTTGCAGAATCATTATTGTAATTTGCACTAATTAAGTCCGGAGCAATGCTAAAATCAAATTAACCTTAGCTAATTACTGATTAGCTAGACAAACAGTGCTAATGAACTGGTGACGTTTAGCTTTCAATCTGTCTGCATCCATTTTAATGAAATGAAAGCAATCACTGTTATACCTGAAATATCTGAATCTAGCTTTATGCATGAATTGTCTATGTATGTTTAAAGATTTTCACATTATCTCTGTTCAAAGGACTGGGTGTCAGTGTAAATTTTAATTATTAATAAACAGAACGAAAAGTATTAACTTCAGTCAATTTTAAGTTCACACATATCCATAACGTTTTTTTAACAGTATAAATTTCAAATGCTTCAGTTGTTTGTATCAGATATTGTAACTTCATAAATTAATCATTATCTCATCGTTAGGTCATTACTGCAGTTCCATAATCTAATCATCAGTAAGGAATAGTCTTCAATGGTTGTGATAACTGTCAGGCCTACTTAGGACTAAATATTAAAATGTTTTCAATTTCCCATAATAACACTTTTCCCACAGCATCACCCCCCAAACAAATTATTTAGTTTAGAATTTCAACCTTAAGCTTTTGTTAAAAAAAAAAAAACACTGACACACACACACAAACCCCATTTTAGTATGGCCATTTTCAGTAATGTGTTCTTTTAGTTTACCTTTAATTACTTGTTAAAAACGTAGCTGCTATAGTAAAGGTCAATGTGACGTTTTGGCATTCGTTTAATTATTATTTTAATACCTACACAACCACCCTCTTTAACTACATTTCCCAGCATAGAAGGCAGAACTGTGACGTCATTTCTGCGACTGGAAAAATATCAACAACCAGTCTTCCTTCGACAAACGGAATCCTTCCGCTAATGAAAATAGAGAGCAGGTACGGTGAAATTAAAACGGGAAATGCACATAAAGAGGGTGAACGTGTATATAAAGATTATATACAACGCATATATTATAAGGGTTTTATTTTTTGCACGTTGTAAACTAATAATATAGTGCCGTAGCACCGTGCAGTGAGCGGTGTATTAATGCGCCCTCGTCGGGTCCGTGTAGTTCCTTTTACGTTTGCAATTGATGCTCCATAATTGTCGCCGATGAGAGGCGTTTGATGTTATTATAATAATAATATTATTGTTTGTTTGGCCCCGATCTGCTCCATAATATAAGCGCTTCTTGCAGCTTCTGAAGAGAATTATCCATAGGTGAGTGATGTCTTTGCGGTTGACGGAGAGCTGGTCTGGCTGGGTGGGGGAAATCGCTTTAGTGCCTGCTAGCCGCCTAGCATGCTACGAGCAAATGCATTGACTTTCGCGACTTGGCTGTTAAATTTCGCAGAAGTCGTTTTCCCGTCGGATAATGGCTTAAAATGGCCGTACATCGAATTGTTTACTCATCTATGAATCGCATTGTGAGCGTCTTGGGTTGCGGTTAGCTAGTTAAGTAGTGGTATCTCAGGAAGATGGGTAACTAAGTGAGTTATGCTGTTAAATTGGCTGATATTTACCCCTCACCTGCTGGGCTGCTGGCCCCCGGAGACCCAGGCTGGCAGTCTAGCACGTCTCTGCCTTCTATCCTTTAGCTCTCTGATCGTGAGACACAAACACGATAACTGGCTATTGACCTGTAATAAATTTATCCCAGCTTGTTGATCCGGGGGTAAATCTAAACCTTTCTGAGACGAAAGTAGCGCTTTGGGTCACTAAGAGACGGTGTGATATGGTTGTTGGATTACATTTGCAATTACTTTATTTCGCGAGCTCGATCATCTTAAAACAGGATACAACCGAAAGCAGGGTCGGGGGGTTAAGGACCTTGAAATCACCCTGGGATTTGCACTGATGTCCTTCTGATCGCGAGCACAGCCTCCAGCGCAGCCTACGTGTATTGCAGAGTGCAGTTCAAATCGTCTTCGTGATGGACACATGAGTTTTTCAAATGAAATTTTCATACTAGATGGTTGTCAGCGTTAGCGTAACCAATGTGATTTAATGCCGCTGCTGTTAAAATTGACCTACAGTTAAATTCGTGTGATTGACCTTTAACGAGGTGATTATGTCAGGGTCATGGCAGTCAGATGAGAGGTCGGAAGCATATAGATAGATAGATAGATAGATAGATGATAGATGGTTTATTGTCATTGTAAGTAGGGTTGCAAAATTCTAGGAATATTCTTGTTAATTCCCATACTTTCCCGTTAATTCCCATGGAAAGTTTCTAATGTGGAATATTTCCAAAATTCCCCAGCTTAACTTCCCATGGAACGAAAAGTTTCAGGAAAATTTCCAGAAATTTTCCAGCCCTTTGCAACCCTAATTGTAAGTACAATGAGATTTAGTTTGGAACATGGCAGCAGATGCACAATATATTAAATCATTATGTATTTATAATATGAATGTGTCAGACGTCACTTCAGTGTTGTTTCAGGTTGTGTTCTTTTCAGTTTGTCTTGTATGAGGTCGGCTTGCTTTACAGCTGCAATACAAAAAATGCCTTGAATCATGGATTGATAAGTAATATTCTCTAAAACCTGGCAAATAAAGCCAGTCATTAAGGCGTGAGTTTTAACGTGCAGTAAACGTGGTATTTGGATCATTCCTTTTCAATTCAGCAAATGGCCATACTGTGAACAAGAACTACCTTTCCAACAAGGTATAACAAACAATCAATTAATCCTCTGTCTTGTTGACTGGTCCATAAGTGATTATTTAGGCCAGTTTTTAGGAACACAGAACTGAGAAATCAGTACAAGTGGCGTTTTTGGTGAAACCTCAAAAACAGACAGAAATGCAAGTGAACTGTCTAATGACTTGAGAAGCACTGTGATTAAAAAGTTTAAAGATGACAATGGTGCCAAGAAGATTGCCAAGCTCCTTAGCGTCAGTGTGTCCACTGTGAAGGCCATCATAGCGAGGTGGAAGACAACTAGAAGCATAGTGACCCGGCCTAGGTCAGGCTGCCCTGTTAAAATAACAAAGAAAATGTCCAGGAAACTAGTCTGAGGAGTAAGAGCAAATCCTAAGGTGACTCTCGGTGACCTGCAAAGCTCAGTATCTGCAGCTGCAGTGGATGTGCACAAGACCACAATATCGAAGACTTTGCACAGAGAGGGGCTGTATGGCAGAGTTGCCAGAAAAAAGCCACTGCTAAAAGAATATCATCTGAAAGCTCGATTAGTATTCGCTAACAGACATCTTGACAAGAGTCCTGCATTCTGGAATCATGTACTTTGGTCTGATGAGACTAAAATTGAACTTTTTGGCCTCAACACAAAGACGTTAGTCTGGTGGACGGAAGGGACTGCCAATGATCCGGCAAACACCATGCCTCCAGAAAACCGTTTAATTAAAATTAATTTTATTTTGACAGCGACGAACTGGATGCCATTGCAGAGCTTTAGATAATCGATGCTGGCTTTAAAGCACCATACAGATGTTATTTACACCCGCAGTTCGATAAACAGATGAGTAGCATGCCTACAATATTAATGAGGTGCACATTGTGAAGCCCGAAAGTTAGTAATCTGTATAGATTTGGTGCATCCTTATGCTTATTAAATTCAGGTAGCAGAGCACACCGCGTGCGACTCTGTTTCATGGAAGCGATAAGCACTGATGTGATGGTGAAGAAAGGGACAACTCAGCAGCCATAACGTCTTGGTATTGTGGATAAGCAAGGTAACAAAACTAATAGTAATAAAAAAGACATTGGTGATGTGGCAGTATGTTCTGCGGTTTAAAGTCTGATCGTTTTTTTTTTTGGTAAATATAATTTTTCATTTTATTTCAGTTCATGATTTTTTTGTATCCGTTTTCGTTTCAGTTAATGATGATAATACTCTTCCCAACAAGCCCAACGCACACAAACCCACACACTAACACTGTCAAACGTAGATCAAGCCCAGATTCAAGCCTAAATGTTTTTTAAAACACTTATTCAATGGAAATTCTAAGGCAGACAACTTTATGGTTTTAATATTGAATGTATTCAGCAGCTACAAGGACAATAGATATTAAAAAGCCCTCTGTACTAATGGTAATTGAATAAACATGAATAGACAACATTGACAGTGGTTTTGCCTACTTCTGGTCCATCATCCAGAATAGCACCTGTGTGTTTCTTCTTCAGGTGCTAATCACAGCGCTAGTACCGCCATCGCACGCCATCGCACTTTGCACAGTGTATAAAGCCGCCATTTTGTTTTGTGAGAATTTGAACTACTCCTATAATTCCATAGTGATATTGAAGGAATCATTTGTTATAAGGAACTGAAGCATTTTATTGAAATCAAAAAGTATGTCATTAAAATAATAGCCTCCTAAAAATGACTGCTGACACAGACGAGTGACAGAAGCATGGAGATGCTGTGATATGTATTAGTGTTACAGCTCGGCGTTGCATTTTGGACAGATATTTTACATGCATGCTTTACTGCACAGTCATTCGAGTCTGTACAATCATGGCTACATCTTTATTGTGAATGTATTGTGAATAAACCTGGAAGCTGCGATGGCTGAATGGTTAACGTGTTGGACTTTAAATGCAATTGGGATTTCAATAAGTGGAGCAAGCTGCACCCCAACAAGAAGAAAGTGAATCCCAGCTTCATGTTGTGCTCGTGGCTTTGTAAACCCACTTCTTCTCCTTTTGTGAGGGTTCCGTGTGGCTAAGGGGGTGAGAACGCTGTCCGCCTGACCTGATAATTGTTGGTTTCATTCCCGGAGTCGGCAGACTGACATCACTGTTGGACCCTAGAGTAAGCCCCTTAACCCCCAAGTGATCCTGATTTCTCTGTTGTTCACTGTTTGCATAATAGCGTTTGCTGAATAAATTAATATGTAAATGGAGAAATAGCCTACTTTCTGATGCATATGTGAAATGTATCAGTGAGTCTGTGAAAGGTGTCTGATATATTTGGCGTATCCTTATTTTTAATTAACATGTTGGACTTTAAACTGCAGAAAATACCGGCAAACCCGGGTGTCTTTTTGCCTTGTTTATCCACGATATGTCCTATTTTAAAAGATGCTGAACTGTCCCTTTCTTCACCACCACCTCAGTGCTTAACACTAGAGATGGCCGATCCACCTTTTTCAGCTCCGATCCGATTCCGATACACAGCTGTAGATACCGATACAGATTCTGATTCAACAGCTCTTTTTACTTTGTTATACTTTATATATTAATTTTTTTAAGTTAGTAAATACAGATGGAAAAATGTATGACAAAAATATTTAATTAGGTTACTACAAACATATATAATGTACTGTTTCACCTCGTTTGTACATCTTGTTTTAAGCGTTTTTGAGGCATTTGCAGTTCAATATGACTATCTTCAAAGCAAGTATACACAAGTGGCAAATGCTTAAAATTTTAACACAATTTTTCTCCCATTGGCGTCGGCTCAGTTACACTTTGTTGCGATGGCAGCCCCTCTTCTATCACAAGCTGCAGCGAGTTCGCAAGACAGTCCAAGTTAGCGACTCCCAAATCATCCATTGCTTTTTTTTTGTTTTGCAGTTGCGTGCGCTTTAAGTGGGATTGTCCATTAAATGATATTCCCACCTCTGAAAACTTTATTTTACAAAGATTGCAAATCGCTGTGCTACTAGTTTCTGTTAAAAGCGTAAAATACTCTCTTATCTTAATGTCTTATCTTGCTCCTCGTATTGCGAAGGGTATGCGCATGACGTCACAGCAGGCGGAAGTCACTGTACTCACACTGAGTAGCAAAAAAGACTGAGGGGCAGCGTTAGCGTTCAATTTGAATGCCACAAAAAACATGTAAGATGGGAAAGAGCTGTCGTGCGATTGATTGTACAAGTAGATTTAACATGAAATAGGAGCTATCTTTTTAGAGATTGCCAAAAACGAAATAAGTAAGTATAGGACGTGGATCGGTCACGCATGGCCGATACCCGATCCGTCAAATAAGTCTGGATCGGCGCCGATACCAATCCGAATATCAGATCAGTGCATCTCTACTTAACACTTTCATGGTATACGAAAACAATAACATGTGGCGTGATCTACTAACTGAATTTAATAAACATAAGGATACGTTGAATTTATACTATATAACTTTTGGACATCACATTATGCATCTTATTAATATTTCAGTGTACTATTAATCTGCTTATAAAATTATGGGCATAAGTAAATGTCTGTATAGTACTGAAAAATGGCATCTGGATAAATTTTTACACCCTCTGCCTGTGCCCTGTGATTATTTCCATGTGATATCATGCAGCCCTATTTTATTGTGTTACTTTTTCGATCACTTTATTCTTCAACTTTCCATTAAATAATGGAGACACTGAGGATAAACCAAAAGGAGAGGTTGAAGTCGCATTGTTGCTATGTGGTAGAGCACACACTGAATTGTAAACTGAGCTGGCAGAGCACATGCTCAACTGGCACCAAATAAATGGTGTGTTCATCAAAGCCGTATTGAATGTCCATATTTGTGGTTCCCATTGAAGTTCCCTGTTAATTAGCGCTTTGATATTTTTTTTCCCTCTTATTTTGTATTTGTTGTTCAGCTGCCCTGTGTGTCTGTGTGCATGGTGATACATGTGCTCAGTATTTATGGTAAGTCTATGGCAGACCATTTTCCATTACAAAACATTTGTACAGGAGGGGGCGCCAGAGTACTTTTTCTGTTTTATTTGAAACAAGTTCCCGACTGACAGCGTGGACATGGGACTGTTGTTTGCAGACCAAAGCAGAAAATTTAGCACATGCATTTAATAGGAATGAGTCAGTTTTGTGGAATATTTGATTATTCAAGAATGTATATGAAATAAAATCTAATGATAAAACGGCTATTTTAAGTGTTATTTAGCAGCAGTATACTTAGCTTGATGTGCAATGATGTTTTCATTCTCTAGTAAATCTGTGGTTTATTCGTTCTGAAGTTTTCCTCTGCTGCCTTTGCATGAGCTCTGCATGAGTTTCCGATCCAATCATGATCATGTCTGGCCTGGCTGGCTCAGTGTGGTGCGTTTGAGAAATTCAACAAAAATGAGTGAAGTGAACAAGAACTAATTACCAGAAGGAAAAAATGGAAATATTTTCGCTAAAGCTATTGAGCCATAGCAAGTGATTTGTTGGTCCTGCTTTGTGTCTGATGACAGCAAAGACGGAGCAAGACAATCTGATTTTTCTGTCGCTGTTAACTTTACCTGTTAAATTTTTTTCTGAGATTCATGGTCTGTGAAATTCATGCTTAATAAAAATTTTAAATGAGGAAATTGACAGTGTACCAGTGGAGACGTTTTGGGGACTTATCCAGAATGTGAACTACTGACTTGTCTTTCCCAGTACCATTTTATTGGTAGATAATAACATGTTCTATTTGGCTGTACTTTAGGTAATTTTTCAATTCCTTTTTTGTTTTATAAGTATCATAATATTTATTGCGAATATTTCAGATCTTACAATGTGAATTTTTCCTGTATTATTCAGCGAAATTTTCAAGCTACCTTTTAATGTTTTACATTATCCCTTCGCAGCAGTGAAAAATCTCATTTTGTAAGGAAAGAAATAAATGCTTTGACCCATGATCTATGCCTGTTTCTCCAGGCGTGTTTTGAGGGTGGAGTTAATCTGATATTATTCCAGTAATGACCGGCTGCAAATGCTCATCCCCAGCATTCATTGTGTTAAGGGGCTTGGTTTCTTCTCTTCACCTAAGTCAGGTCAAGCTTGAGTTAGACAAATGTTGCAGAACTTTTTTTTTTCTCACCAGTGGGTCATGAACAGCTTTCGTTCTGTGCCAGACTATAAATACAGAAGGTGTTGTATACAGTTTTATGAGTGTCTCATATGCTCTGAATGCACTGTCTAGGCCTGTTGGAGTTTTCACACTCAGGATACTGTGACTGTCCTAGACCAGCATGTGGGGTACAGAGAAGACTGGAGATCCGCAGATCATTGCATCGCAGCCTTGGCCCTTGTCCAGTTGTATTGCAGTTTATTTTTAGCGTCTTAGCGGGCCTTACATTTTTCTGTTGTTGCTATGCCCTGGGACACAGAGTCTAAGGGCAGGACCATCTATACGGCCTCTTTTTATGGGTAACCTTTCTGTAAGGTTGAGGGACCTTCTTAAAGCGGAATGAGGTTCTAATGCTAGTCTGTCTTATTGTAAATATTGAAACTGGTGTCTGACTTTCAGGCTGATGGCTGTGCCACCCAGCTGGATAACAATATGGGCTTTCAGCACCTTTACTGTCTAAATACAGATATAGCTGTAGCAGCAGAAGCTGCCGTTTCCTACCAAGGCCAATTAACTTTGGTTCCAGGTTGTTTTTAATCAGCCTGGTAACACATCTGTGCTCTATACTGTAATCAAAGCACCAGGCTCCTGCATGGCACTATCATAGCAAAACCAGTCATGACAGGTTTTTCTGAAGTGGCTGAAGCTGAGGGGAAAAGACCATGTGATCTTTGATTAAATCTACTGAGCAGCTGAGATGAAACGCCCACACACTCTCGAGGCCTTCGGGCTGAGGAGTTTTAAGTGGCTGTGCTCGAGAGGAGATTGCACACGTCTGTAACTGTATCCCATCCTGCTGCCGCCCCAAAGGCATCTCAGATCTGGCTTCCTGGGGAAAACTTTGCAGAAACGGCAGGAGCTTCTGCCCTATGAAGCCAGGAACCCAGGGATCCCAGAACATTCTGCTGCCCTTAGGGTGTTGTCATCTTAGGCCTGACTCTCCTTCCCACGGAGACTGGTGTGTTTTGCCAAGAAGCACAATGGAGTTCTATGAGGCAGAGTACATGCAGGGACCCAGGGAATCTGTGTTCCTGCGGAGCAGGAGGCCGATAGGAACCTGACTTCTTGGTGTTGCAGCTAGACACACTCGTCTGTACTTCCCTCAATAGGCATGCAATATCCAGCAAATTTAGAGCTTCTATTTCATTTTAGATTATGCCAGTTTGGTAGTGATACCAGCTGGCCTTAGGAAGACCACAGTACTGGCATCGGTACCCATCGTAACACTAGGGTGCCACCGCCTTTCAACTACGGATTAAACGGCATCTTTCAACTGGTTCCTGTGGCATTTAGCCCTCCCTGACTTTTCCTTATGGTGTCCAGCCAGCCCCTGACCTGCCCCCCACCCCCCCCGCCTGTCCATTGCAGGTTTGGCACGTATTGTGAGGTCGACCATGGAGGAACAGACCACGTCACCTGGTGCCAACACAGACAACAGCAGCCAGAGGAACGGGGAGGAGGTGAGGCTCCTGCTGGGGGCTGGTGACAGTGTCACATGGTACTGGGCCTCTGGCTTGGGGGCTTTTTGTGATCTTGTAATCTCAGCATGAATCTGAGATGGACGAGGTATTGTCCCTGTGAATAAGCAGTCAGGGAAAACTGTGCCTAATTCCTAAAGTAACCTTAAGGTAGCTTCCCACCTCCAGAAGAGTCCAGTACAGCACATGAATAGTTGTGCCAATCAGGAACCTCGGGAGAATTCCCTGGAGTGGCCAATCGGGAGACTCATGAGAATTCCCCGGAGTGGCCAATCGGGAGACTCATGAGAATTCCCCGGAGTGGCCAATCGGGAGACTCAGGAGAATTCCCGGTGCACCACATAGCTGTTGTGCTGAGCAGAAATGAAATAATTTAATAAATTTCACAACAATGCTTCAGAATATTAACCAGTGCGTTCTGTCACGCACGCGTGCGCGCACACAAACACATACACAAACACATACACAAACACATACATACACACACACACATACAAAATAGAACATGATCGTTCTGCATAGAGAAACATGCAAATACGTGGGGCTGAAAAAGTCAGACTGCTTTAACAATTCAATATGCTATTTATTATTTATTTTCTTCTTGAAATGTCAGTAATAAATTTATCGGGATACTAAGACTTGAATTGTGGCGTCATTTATCAAACTTCTGCCAGAAGGAGGGCAAAATGGGCTGACCTTGGCCATAAAAAATGTGTCCCGCTCCGTGCCTGTCCTTGTGTAGTGGCAGTTCCCCGGTCCCGCTGCCCGCCAGATCCGCGTATGCTGTCGTTCCAGAAACCGCGGCGCTCCAGCTGGTCCAAGGGCCGAAAGCGGAAGAAGCCGGTGAAGGACAGCAACGCGCCCAAAGCGCCCCTAACAGGCTACGTACGCTTCATGAACGACCGCCGCGAGCAGCTGCGGGCCGAGCGGCCTGACGTGCCCTTCCCAGAGATCACCCGCATGCTGGGCAACGAGTGGAGCAAGCTGCCCCCCGACGAGAAGCAGGTGAGCCGCAGCGGGAGGTCGCCGGCGGGTGTAGCCACCTAACTGAGTCACGCTCACAGCACCGCCTGCCGCACGGCTGGGTCCTGCTTCAACGGCGGCCGAAGAGCACACTGCACACTGCACACTGCAACTGTAGCAAAGAGCTGCCCTGTAATGTGCTTACAGTGAATAGTAGCATCCTGTCATATTAATATGAATAAAATCCTGCCCTTATAGCCTTAACTAAGATATTATGGTATGTAAGGTAGTTTTTCACCCTCCAGGCACCGAGACTGAAAATAAAATTCTGTATTTCATTTGGGGCTTGAAAATCTAGTAACTTTGCATATATTACTTTTAAAATAAACATCCTTGGTAAGTACTGTTTATAGCCGTATTGGTCATCTGATAATGATAAATCCTTTATGTGCCGTTTGCACTAGTACAGGTACATTGGAATTCTTCTCTTTGCCGACCCCATCTTGCTCTCCATAGCTTGGGGGTCGCAGCACAGGGTCAGCCAACGCACAGAGCCCCTGGAGCTGGGGGTTAAGGGCCTTGCTCAAGGGCCCACGGACATGTGACTGTTCTGCTGAGGCCGGGGCTCCAACTGGCATCTTCTGACCACAGGCACAGAGACTTAGCCCACAGTCGCTTGCCGCCCCCTAAAATGTAGAATCTGTAGGATCCTAATGGTACCAGACCTTCTAACAGAGGTATGCTAGCTATACATGAGATAGTCAGTAATCACTGTAATCTGTTGCCCTTTCAAAAGTGCGGAGGCAGTGTGTAGCACTTACCAGGGCAGTTAGGCTAATTGCCAATTCTGCATTGTTGGGTGGGTGGATGGATGGATGGATGGATGGATGATGTTCCTGTGGTACTGATTCCACTGTCTGTCCCTCTGGGGGACTCTGCTCCTAAATTAGCCTGCAACTCAAGCTGTCAGTTGCTGTTTTTGTTTTCCTCGGGCTGCCATCCAGTCACTCTCGGGGCATGTTTTGTCCAGTTGACGCCCCAGGGGTCTGGAACGCACCCTGGACCAGAATAAAAGTGCAGCCTTTCGCTTCTAATCAAAATGTCACAGATGGCCCTGGAAGAGGAGCAGGCCTCGTCCTGAGGGCTGATGGCCAGCAGTGAAGATCTGTACAGGCTCCATCAGAGTTAAATTATCTAATGCTGCTACAGACAGCTGTCAGCACTGACTCTGACCCACAAGTGACCGCAGATGTATTTCTGCCCGCTTAGGCCTTCTGGTACTGTGGTGGGAAATCGAATGAGAAACGTCCATTTGGATAAACAATTAATATTGTAAGCTTGAAAGTGTTTGTTTAAACTGAGTGACCTGGTTTTGGGAAAGATTTTAATTTTAGTATTTAAATTTGATAAAAATGACTGCTGGGTAATAGAGAGCCTGTTTCGGCCGTACCGTCAGAAGGCTGTGAGAGCACATCGGGGAGGTCATGCTGACACTGGTAATGCCCCCCCCCCCCCCCCCATTAGCGCTACCTGGAGGAGGCGGAGCGGGACAAGGAGCGCTATATGCGGGAGCTGGAGGAGTACCAGAAGACAGAGGCGTACAAGCGTTTCACCAGGAAGGTGCAGGAGAAGCAGAAGGGCAAAGGTCACTGCGGAGGTGAGGCTGTCGCTAATGCTAACGCTTCGCTGCGCCGCCTCGCGCCCAGTCCCTGAGACTGCCGTGCCGCCGAGATCGCATTGATCCTTTCTGCTAATTCGGTGCTGCTTATGCCTCCTCCTGATTTTATGGAGCATTATTTACCTAGAGCTGGCCCTTCTTGACAGTTTATGCTAAATATGCTTAGCATCACGTCAGTACTGTTTTTCTATTTCTTTCCCTCCCTCTTGCAGACTCTTCTCGGTCCGCTGGCAGCAAGTCCCTGCACGAGGTACCCGTCCAGCAGCGATAAATTATGAAAACGTCAGGCATGGGCCATGAGAGGACAATTACAGCTGACTTGGTTGAATTAACGTTGGTTAATTACCCAGAGTTCTGCCACCGTTGACTCCACGATAAATGCTATTAGCAGAGGGGTGCTAAAATAAGTTTAAGAAACTGCTCAAGCCCCCTGAGGCTGCTTCCCGTGATTCGTAAAGGCATGATTGGTTTTTGTGAAGCCCAGGGATGTAATTAAGGAGCTCTGCCGCTAGAGGAGACAGCGGGAGCCACACCGAGGCGACAGAGCTGAGTGGCGTCGGGAGGCCTGTCACGGGGCCCGTAAGCGAGCCCAAGCCACCTCTTCCGCCTGTCACGCGTTTGTTCAGGCGCTCTAATTGCTGACAGCGTTACTGGGTCTGTTCAGTTCCTTCCCAAAGTTTTGACACTACTTCTGCAAGCCCATGGAATCATTTTGCCCATTTTCTGCAGCCGGCACAATTAGGAGCCCAAGTAACATGTGTCAGGTTATGCGCCGCTGCCCCCAGTGGCTGATAGGCATGGCGCTTTCAGCCTGTTGGTTAAAACCGCAGGCCGCCGTCTGCCCTGGAAGGTGCCAGGTGTCGTCGTCTTTCGGCTAAATGACTCCAAGTTGTTTCTGGAACCTTCACCAGAAGGACTCCGAAGGGAAGGAGAGATCCGTGTTTGACATCCCCATCTTCACAGAGGAGTTCCTGAACCACAGCAAAGGTACAGCGATAGCGCTCTGTGCTTCCCGTCTCCGGCGATGAAATGGCCGGCCCTCTCTTTGGCGCTAAGCAATCTGCCTTCCGAAAAAGGTCATCTTGTGCGATAAGACTCCTCCGATGATTAGCCTGCCCCGCGGTGGTGCGCAGCCCAGGCCGCAACTGGCTAGCTACTGTCACATTTACGCGTGTGCACGAGCTGGCTTTTGGTCATGTGTCATTTCCTTGGTGACGGTCCTCCCTATGTGCCCCGCCCCCAGCCCGTGAGGCGGAAATGCGGCAGCTGAGGAAGACCAATATGGAGTATGAGGAGCGCAACGCCGCACTGCAGAAGCACGTGGAGAGCATGCGGGGCGCCGTGGAGCGTCTGGAGGGCGATGTCATGCAGGAGCGCAGCCGCAACGGGCTCCTACAGCAGCACCTGGAGAATCTGCGGCAGGCGCTCACCTCCAGCTTCTTGAACCTGCCCCTGCCAGGTGAGGGAGCCGTATACACCACTCCTATGCTGACGGCTTCATATGCGAGCACATGCTTTCAGATGATATCTCCATAATGAGCTGGTTCAGATTTCCAGCTACCACTTGTTGCAAGTACACTGCATACATTTACAGTGAATTCATCCATACATCCATCTATCCATCTGTTATCCTGGTCAGGGTCGGGGGGGTGCTGGAGCCTATCCCTTTAGGCGTGATGTCAGTCAGTAAATATACACTCAATGGCCATTTTATTAGGTACACCTGTTCAACTAAATGATGAAGCAAATCTAAAATCAAATGTAATCAGCCAGTCATCTGTCAAGCCAATCATGTGTCATATGTCAGTCCTATGGAGCTTCAATTAATTATCACATCAAACACCAGAATGGTGAAGAAAGGTGATTTGAGTGACTGAACATGGCTTGGTTTTTGGTGTCAGGCAGGTTGCTATGAGTATTTCAGACACTGCTGATCTAGTAGGATTTTCATACACAACAATCTCAAGAGTTTACCGAGAATGGGCCAAAAAAGGAAAAATATCCTGTTCTGGGGAGAAAACTGTCTTGTTGATGCTAAATGTCAGAGAAGAATGGCCAGACTGGTTCATATAGAAAGGCAACATTAACTCAAATAATCACTCGTTACAACCATCTCTGACTGCACAAAACATTGAACCTTGACACAGAGGGGCTGCGGCCGCAGAAGCTCACACCTGCTGCCGATTCAGTGAGCTACGAACGAGAAACTGGCGCTGCAGCCAGCACGGCTCGCCAAAGCTGGACAGTGGAAGATTGGAAAAACGTGTCCCGGTTGTATGGGTGTGCATTTTCTGCTCTGATGTTCAGATGGTGTGGTCAGGATTTGACAAACAAGATGAAAGCATGGATCCGTCCTGCTTTGTATCAACAAATCAAGCTGCTGATGGTTGGAGTAATGCTGTGCTGGGTGTGTTTTGGCAGCTTTAAGCCCCTTGGTACCAACTGCGAATTGCCACTTGAGTACTGTTGCTGACCATTTCCATCCCTTTATGACCACAGTGTACCCAGCTTCTAATGGCGACTTCCAGCAGAATTGATGAATGTAGGCCACAAAGAATCAAGACGGTTCTGAAGGCAAAGTACTACCCAGTACTACCAAGGTGTACCTAATAAAGTGGCCAGTGAGTGTATATGTGTGTCTGNTCAAGACGGTTCTGAAGGCAAAGTACTACCCAGTACTACCAAGGTGTACCTAATAAAGTGGCCAGTGAGTGTATATGTGTGTCTGTGTGTGTGTGTGTGTGTGTGTGTGTGTGTGTGTGTGTGTGTGTCTGTGTGTCTGTGTGTGTGTGTGTGTGTGTGTGTGTGTGTGTGTGTGTATATATATAAATATATAAATAAAATGTCATGTACAGATGCCCCTCGACTTACGATGGGGTTACATCCAATGAACCCATCGTAAGTGGAAAATACAGCAAGCTACATATGAATATGATATAACTACTGTCACATAATTGCTGTAACTAAATACTAGCAATTTAAAAGTTTATTTGGTTAAACACAGAAAATAAACACCATGCGATATGTTCTTAAGTGGGATTTTTATGCTGGAGGTCGCTAGAGACTGGAAGCGTGGCTGCGTGGAAGCTGCTGTTACCCAGCATCAGAAAGTATCATACAGCATATTGCTAGGCTGGGAACAGAAGACAGTTCAAAGCTAACTCCTGAATGTACGGCACTATTGCATCATCGTGAAGTCGAAATGTCGTACGTTGCACCTTTGTAAAGCGAGGAGCATCTGTGTGTTTTTTTATTTTATTTTATTTAGTAGTTTCATTGAGATGCTGCCGTTCTACAACAGGAGCAAAACAAACCACATTTATGAAGCTTAACTGGCCCAGAGCAGCCGAAGTTCTGGTCGGTTTTTCTTCTTATTCAGCCGCTCTCGTGACCCAGTTTGCCTGCTGGGTTTCCATGGAAGCCCCACAGTGTCCCCGTGGTCCATGGGCTTTATTCTGCTTGTCCCCGCACACCCAGCCAAGGCCCCTCTCTCCTGCTCCTGGGAAACTGAGGGGGAGGGGTGGGCTTCGGGGGGAGTTCACTGGTGGTACAATGGGGGAGCAGGTGCACTGCACTGAGCAGCTGACACATCCGTTAATGATTTGGCCACGGCAGGCCGGTGTAGCGTACAATGCTGTACAAGGTTAGAATATTTCAAGAATAGGTCAACCATAAATCCAAGTGTGTGTTTGATTTTAATTTTTAACATACCTTCCACGCCAGTCCCATGATAGCAAAGCAGCTAATGTAGGTGCGTGTGTGTCTTCAGTATTTGTTTATTTTCTGAAAGCCAGGGAATATAAATTAGCTTGTGAATAGATGTTTTAGGGAGCATGCAGTCATTATGACCTTCATTTTTAACCACAGAGCTGAGGAATTTGTACTTATTTACTCTTTCCACACACTGGTGTGTGTGCAAGTGCACGTGCCTGACCCCATAAGGGCACTGGTAGGAGGAGGAAGAGGGCGGAAGAACCTCCAGCTGTAAGACGTGGGTAGTTCAGGTCCAGAAAGTAAAAATCCAGACCAAGATTTTGTTTAAAACAATCAGTTGAGTACTCAGATCTTGGTCTGGATTTGTACTTTCTGATCCTGACCTCTGCCAGATTTGCAGGCACAGGTGTGGTCTTCTTTACCAGTTAACCCTCCTCTAGCCTTCATATAATCATCATCTCAGCCTGCTGAGGTTGCACTCCGGGGTCTTATGGGTGTAATAGTCTTTGATATTAATAGACACACATTCTGTTGACCGGCTCAGTGAAAGGAGGTGTATTGGTTGTGCACTAATGTCCCCCATCTATGGGCTTCTCAAGCTGTTTTGCTTGTTTGGTGGTTTGCAGCCTGATACTTGTGAGAAATCTGTTACTGGGACGACATCTGAAATGTACCAAGTCCGCTTCTCATCGCGTAAAACAGTGGGTTTCACAATCCTCTCGGAGGGTGCTGTATTGTGTTTTTCTCCTCCGACTCCCCCTACTGACCCCCACAACCACCACCACGATCCCCTTCCAGTGTCTCAGACTGTTTGAATGGCTTGGCTGTTGCCCTGGCAGAGCACACAGGCATGCAGAGTAGGCAAAACCATCAGACTTATCTGTTATCTGTAGAATCCAGGAAATGATTCATCAGCCAGCGAGTTCATCCAAGATCCACTTTCCGAGACCGTGCTTAGGACGGACGTACATAAATTGTGACTCAGGGATCAGTAAACAGCAGGCGAGCCGGTTGATCCATTTACATTCCATTTATTTAGAAGGTACTTTTATCCAAGGCGACACACATTTTTCAGAAGAAGCTGGGTCAGACAATTCCTCGAGCTTCTGGTGGTTAAGAGCCTCGCTTTGGGGCCTGATTGTGGAATCACATATGCTAACCCACTGAAGCACACACTGCCCTCATGATGCCTGTGCTATGGCTGAGGGACACCGTGGAGATGTTTCCTTATACCTGTCCTATGTGGAGCTTGTTGGTTTGGGTGTTTGTCCCTTGTGGGCGGCCTTGTGGGGCTGCGTACGAGTCGCTGTCCCACGGACATTCCCCCCCAACCCCCAGAAGCTGACCGGCTACTCTCATCTCCCTCATCCGCAGGCAGCGGGGAGACCCCAACCCTGGACACCATCGACTCCTACATGAAGAAGCTGCACGGCATCATCCTGGCCGACCCGCAGCAGCACGAGGGGCTGATCGGCGCGGTCAGGGAGGTGGTCAACCATCTGGAGCGGTAGAACCAGGTCCCCTCACTGCATCCTTATGACCTCCTCCACTGTAACCGTGCCATGTGTAGTTTAGATGACTCAAGGGTAAAACTTTACCATGATGTCAGGTAAAATGTTGGCGAGTCATAGTATCAGTGTAGTTCTCATGAGGTAGTTGCCGAGACTTGTCTCATTCACTAATCCTTTTATTACTTATGCCCTGAGACGGTCTCTAGCCAACACACTTATCAACTTCAGCTTGTTTACCAGATGGAGGATTACACTGAGATTCTGTGAGGCAGTGACTTTGTATGAGACATGAGTTCACACGCAGGGAGTTTTTATTTATTTATTTTACATTCAGGGTTTGCGGAGCTCTACTGATAAAACGGAATGCACATATGATGGGTAGCTCTTTAAGAGACCTTTTTTTCTGGCTATTTGGATTAAAGCTGTTTTTCCCTCTGCAGAGAGCTTGAGAGGCAGCCGTCGCTATCGGAAAGCTGAGGACATCTGAGATCCAGCGACGAGTCTCTTCACATTAACGCAGCGCCAGAGTTTTTTTAAATCTCCTAACCCTCCCAGCAAGTACAAGGCAGCAGGCAGTTTTTTAGAATTATTTATCATTTTCTGTGCTCATTTTTCCGCTGTGTTCAGAAATGACCCTGTCAGAAATGACCCCCCCCCCCCCCCCCCCCAAAAAAAAGCGGTGTCTGTCTTTGACATTGCCAGTGGTCTGTGCCGTAAACTTCAGACTTCAGAATTCTGAAGGTGAGACTTCACTTTCAGTCAATTATGCATTATTAGATTGCCATGATGTTTTTTATGACCTATTTTAGGCTTTTTTTTTAGTAAGTGTTCATTTAGAGTGTAGCAGTCATCCAAAGTACAATGAACCTCTGAGTGTTCATATCTAAGCGAGACTTACCTGAATATTGGCGTACCAGTCTCTGACACCTTTGAACTTTATAAGTACTTAAATGTTGTGTTCAATAAAATTCTTTTACAGTATTTACTTGTTCTTGTTTGCTGTGGACTCTGACAGGGAAAGTTTTGGCATGCTTGATTTTGTGTGTGACGGCTCCCTTTAGACATGTGGGCTGGAATATTTGTCTATCTGTCTCTCTCCGTCTGTCTAATTTTTTGACCTTGTGTGTGTGAGAGGCTTCTGGCCTGTTCACAGGCCTTTGTATTCCCATCCCTGCGCACACACAGACTCCAGAACAGGCGGATGGGAGAGTGACACCTGACCGGTTGGCTCTGCCGGCTGTCACTTTCTGTCACACAGAAGATTGGTTGGGGGGATGGGGAGGGGCGGCTCCCATTGGACCATCTCTCTGACAGACCTGTAAGGGGGAGCGGCCATGTTCCGGAAAAGACCATGAAGTCAGTCTGCCATTTAACAAAAACAGTACTGGGCCCTATTAAACAGGACAGGACACATGTTAAGCTGTTTGGGTGAATTGGCCAGCAGATGGAATGTTTTATTGCTTTTGAAGTTAAGTTTTATTGAAGGGGCAGGTATGAAGCCTCCCTCCACGTGGGTGGCGCACCTAGCAGGAAACAACTTGTTTAAACCCATTAAAAAGTCAGTTTTTTTTATTTATTTGAGAACAGCAGCTACTGTGTAAACTTTGTGGAATAGCAATCCTGTAACTTCTCAAATACAATAAAACTTCCCCGTGTAACCTGGAGGATATAGTTTATATCCAAAAACTTCTCAGCAGAGAAGATTCTGCCTCAGGAACCAATCATTAATATAGCAGTGTCATTTTAGCCAAACTAGGATGGGGGTGTGCTTCCTGTTTGCTTTGTGATGCCCATTTCCTGTCCCTAGCTGCTGCTTCCTGTCCACAACAGCACACATGTGCTCCTCGTGACTCTGGGGGAGTTCAGCTGCAGGTGCCCCAGATCCGGAATTACGCTGGGCAGCATCCAATTGTGTCCTCACTCCCTGTACTTTGAACTCCTGGGTCGACACGGCACTTTGATAATACTGCTTTGTTGTTTTATTTATTTATTTCCATTTTAATTTATTGAGAGGCATTTGCCAAATTGTCGTACAGCTGTTCAGTTCAAGTTAACCACAGACGACTTCTCGTCCAAAACTCCTGTTTGAGGTCAGATCCCAATCAGATGCTTATTATGGAGGGAGCTCAGTGTTCGTGTGACCTAGAGCAGTCCGGGGGGGAGGCTAATGCCCCCCCAGAACCTAGCTTTTGATGTGTATCCACAGCTGGCAGCTGACTTTTTAATAAAAAATTGCATCTGGATGGAGTTTCATGAGACAGACATGATCTTGGGGAACAGCCTCCCGCCCCCAGTCCCCCGCGTTGGATCGGTCCACTTCCTCACTGTCCTTTGAGGTCTTGAGGAGCAGGCAGGCTCGGTCTATCTGAGGTCTGAGGGCGAGCTGGTCTTGGTTGGGGAACAGCCTCCCGCCCCCAGTCCCCCGCGTTGGATCGGTCCACTTCCTCACTGTCCTTTGAGGTCTTGAGGCGCAGGCAGGCTCGGTCTGTCTGAGGTCTGAGGGCGAGCTGGTNGTCCCCCGCGTTGGATCGGTCCACTTCCTCACTGTCCTTTGAGGTCTTGAGGCGCAGGCAGGCTCGGTCTGTCTGAGGTCTGAGGGCGAGCTGGTTTTGGTTGGGGGACAGCCAGCCCGCTCAGGCTGTTTTGTTCGAGTGCTTTTGGTTCATTGTTCCAGTGTCTGGAATAACTGGGGCAATATTTAAAAGAGCATGGAGATGCTAAGGCTTATTATTAAAAACCAATATCTTTTTAAAAAAAAAGCTGCCTGCCCCAAAAGAGCAGCGCAATCCCTTCAGCTCGATTTCTGAAATCACTTAGTTTGTTAAAATTCATAACGTGGGAGCCTTAGCATGCTTACGCATGCCTAGATGGCACCCATGTGAGTTTCATTTGAAGTTTTCCACTGATGGAAAAGAGGGCCACTTCCATCCACCATCTCTAGGGGGAGTCGCTCCGTTCCTCATGTGTGGGAAATGCAAACATTTCAGGAATGTCTTCGACGTCATTCGAGCACATCTGTTATTAAGCCACAATGTCCACAAAATGTTTTACAAAAACACATCGTCGTCGTCCTCGTCTTTATGCCACTTCTGCTGAGAGGGTCGTTGTGGCAGCAACGCTGGCCAGGTCAGACCAGACCTCTCTTTCCACGGACACTGGCTCTCGCTCATTCCAGACATTTGTGAGGCAGCTGGGAGATACAATCCCTCCGGCGTGGCCTGCGTCTGCCCCGAGGCCGCGGCCCAGTGGAATGTACCCGGAACAACTCCTCTGGGAAACATCCAGGTGAATCCCTTATAATATGACTGAACCACTTCAGCTGACTCTTCTTGATCCCAGGGAACAGTGGCTCTGTTTCAAAGTTCCTCCAGATCTCTGAACTCCTCACCCCTTCTTGAAAACTGAGCCTGGCAACCCACACTGAACCTGCATGAAACACGATCTGTTGGTGGGTTTCAACACATCTTGTGACACTTCTCTCTTGCTTTTGGAGTTTTCGACCTAAATACACCCACTGGGATCTTCGAGACTCTGATGAACGATCTCATAAATGGGTTAGTACAGGTTTCAGTACAGTGCCCCAATTTCTGCTGCTACACATCACCCATTTATCATACCCCAGCTATTTTATCCCATAAAAAGAATCCCTCCTTTTCTACAGCACTCCTGTAGCAGGAAACATTTTCCAGACATCCATTGACCAACACTGAGTAGCAGAGATGTTTTCATCGTACCTTGGTTTTACTACGCTACAGAAAATTTCAGCAATTCAGTTATGAAGATTTGGGATGGAGATTGCTAGTTTGACTGGAACGCAGGTAAAATATCCAAAAAAATAATGATGACAGTATGTTTCAAATATACTGTACATTTCAAGGCTCCCCCTTGTGACAACGTTTAAATACTGCAAGATTCAAAAGCTACTTGGGTTTTAAAGACTCTTTTTCTCCAAAGCATCCTATTATCCGCGCTAGGTGTAAAGTGGGGGGATTGTAATGCCATTTACAACCGGGGAAAATAATGATGTCGAAGATCTGTGGAATCTGCTCTAAATAATGAGACAACAGGACAGGCCCTCCCCACACCTAAACAAAATAAGGTCCAGCTTATGTTTACGCTGCAGTGGTAACAAATATTGTTGTTGGGGGGGAGGGGGAACTTGGCTGTGATAGTGGGCGGCCGAGGGTGGGGGGTAGGTTTGGCTATGATAATGGTGCTGTGAAACAATGCATGGAATGTGTAGAAACAGTAGTCTCCGGGGGGTTAGTCTCACTTCCTCCCCTGACTCCGCTAAAAATCCTAGGAGGGGAATCGCCCGCCCCCCCCCCCAGACACTTGCGCCTTCCACCACGACAACACACGCCCCTATGCTCACTCACTTTTTTATACAAAGGTCAATGACACAGGGCACTGAGTGAAATTACAATAGTTTTTCTGCTCGATGAGCAATCTTTGTCTGACCCCACATTGCCCAAAGATAGCCGCCGGACTGATGCAGACATCTACTTTATTTTTAACCGTACTTTTTTTTACTAATTGGTATCATACGAGTATTTGAGACATGTTAGATAAGTAATGTGATTACACACGGCGGGACCATTATATAACCCAAATGCGACCCGTTTTAGGATGATAAGGCGCCTAAATAAGTTTATTCTGAAGCATACAGTATTATAATAATAATAAGAATAATAATTATTATTATTAATAATAATAATAATATAGGTGTAATGTAAGACTACACAAAATTAATCGGCGTGAATCACCTCTCATGCGCGTTCTCGACGCGAATACGTACACGAGGCTGCTCCCCAAGGCGCGCTCACAGGCCAGCCCCACGTATGCGCGCACCACCCCGTGGCTTGAGCCATATCTGCGGCTGTGGCCGTGCAGAGCAGGCTGAGTGAGCCGTGGGCTCCTTGCGATCGCGGTCTTTGCCGATAAAAATACACATATTGACATCTCGGACCCTGAGTCAACGGCGTAGGACAAGTCCCGGGGCGGGAGGATTATGGCTGTCAGACCGGAGCGGAGGCTCGGACGGATCCGTAACGCGTAACGGTAAGAAAGAAAAAGTTTACCAAAAAAATCGTCCAACTGAAAGTGGAAATCGCTCCAGGAAAGTTTGTGCCAGGACGAAATCCAAGCAGTTTCGCCTACGTTTTTTTCTCTGTAGGGGAATTGTGCGCTTTCCCTTCTCCTTTAACGCAGTTTTTAACATAGATGTCTACATGTGGTGGGGGGGCGAACAGACGGAAAGTTGATTATTTTGCTGCTGTCGCGTTACGATCGGCGCTTTGCGATGCACATCTGCTCTACGGGGGGAAAAAAAACCCAACAATGCGGGCTGGGGATACATGCGATGTGGAGCAATAATAAATCCGGCGCTGGGAACGATCCGGGTCCGGAGCGGGGATCATCACCCGGCGCTGTCAAACGCCGACACCGGCCAACCTGGCTTATTTAAACCGCCTGCCCATGTCATCCCAATTCCGGCGCAACATAGAAAGCTCATTTATTCGAAAGATCGGAATAAAAAACGAGGCGTGAGCCTTTACGGCGGCGATCGGCGCCCATTAATGGTTAATATTTTCATTGTGAAGAAGAATGACTGTCCTGAGGACACGCCGGTTATAGCTGGGCGATCATTGAAATGTTTATGGGCGGTATCGTTCCGTCACGGTAGGCTAGATTGGTGAAATTTAATTGCAGTTGGTTATTTATATGCATCCGATGTGATCGTATTTAAATTCCGGATCAGTGAGCGTTTATGGACTGGAGTTGGATTCCTCTTATAAATCAGTTGCACGATCTGAATTTCTGAGCACCCTTATAGAGTACAAAGCTAGGGGTGTTCACGTCTCCTCCTCATGATTTAGGATGCCTGGGGTATCTGATGGCACAGTCCGGGACCATGCCAGTGCTGAGACGGTGTCTTAGGGCGTATATGGCTGTCCCGCGTCCATCATCATCCTACAGGG